GGGGGGGGGGGGGTGACTCCTGCTGCCGCCCTGCACCAGACCCCTGTAATCTGTTGGGTCTCTCCCATCCTTAGCATGCTTGGGGGGGGCACCACAGGGCTCCAAAGTGCGGAGCAGCCCCCCAAATCATCCTATGAATGGAATGGCGCTGCTCTTAAGTGTGGTGCTTGTTCCTGGAGCTGGCTGGCTGACACATCCCAGGAAGAAGGGTCAATTGTTTGTGCTGAGGCACATGGCTGGGACCTGGGGCCCCTTCCCTTCCCTTGGGAGCCCCCCACCTTAACACTTACATCACTTTGGAAGTGGCAGAAACTAAACCAGAAAAAGCATTTTGCTTAAACCAGAAAAAGGCAGTCTTGTTCCGGGAAAACAAGATCCACACCATGAGTTATATCAGTATAACTATAGTGATATAATTATACTGCTAAAAATTTCCCAAGCAGACTTAATTTGTCAGTATCTGCAGATCGCAGATGCAGGAAGAGAATATAGAGCTGGATGCTTTGTCAAAATCACTCCTCTATCCTCTAAGAAAATATCACGTGCCTAAAAGAAATGTAAAGTATTTTCAGTACATGGAAGCAAAATCAAACAGAAACCATAGATCTGTATGCAGCCAGGCTGCTGCAATTGGTTATTTTCATAATGCATGTTGTGTATTGGGTTGTTATAGATATAGATCTTGTTGCTGTTATAGTAACTGAGTTAGGTCATTAGGGGTTAGCCCAGCTGCTTTGGGCTGGTTCTAGCTAGTTCTGTGTTGTGGAATAAATTGGAAACTTGCAGCTGCTGCAACTCTCTGTTTCAAGTGATTTCTTCCTAAGCTCTGTAACTCCTAACGATACAACAAAGTGGCGATAAGGATGGGCTACCTGTGCTGCCTTTAGCAACAGAAGAAGTAGAGGTCAGTGTGAGAAAACAAACCTTGTTGTTGCTCAGGAAGGTGGCGGTGAGAAAACACTGTTACACTGACCGTGCAAACTGAAACTAAAACCAGTGAAGCCCAGAGTCTGGGAGGAAAAAGGAGAAAGAAAGGTGGTGCAGCAGCATGGCTACACTTATGGGGCTGCTGAGACCTCTTAAGGAGACTGTAGATCAATGGCACATATATATGAGCATTTTGAGCTTTTTGTTTTTGCAAATGACATTAACGAAGGGAAGAAGGTTCCAATATTCTTAAGTGCTAAAAGAGAGCACACTGTACTTTTATTTAGATTTTCCTCTTACTAAAGCTTTTTGACAGGCAAGTGAAATGATAGTGTGTCACTGAGCATGGAGAAATGGAATAAAAAAAAGGAAAAGAATTATGTCAAAAAAAAAGTAAACTGGCAGACCTGTTTTTTGCAAGGCAAGATGTGTTGCACGAAACAAGAATTTCAGTCTATGTTTTCAATCAAGAAGCACGAAGGTATCACAATGGTTAGTAATAGTAAAACAAACAAACAAAAAACCCCTAGAAAACTGAAAATATCTGAAGCTTTCAGTTACAAATTTAAAAAAAATCTGGAGACTCCTTCAGATTTCTACACAGACTGGCATATACACTAAGGAAGATAGTATTTTCCTTATCTGTCTAAACCAGTGGTCCCCAATGTGGTGCCCGCGGGCGCCTTTGCGCCTGCTGGGGCATTTATGTGCACTCGCTGAATGATCTGGGCTGGCCCCGCCCCTGGGGCACGGCGCATGTGCGGTGCTGGCCCCTGGTGTGCGGTGCATGGATGGCCTCTGCCCCGGGCACATGGTGCATAGGTGGTGCCAGCCCCGGGTGCGTGGCGCATGGGCGGCCCTTGCCCCGGGTGTGCAGCGCATGGGCAGCCCCGCCCCTAGACACGCAGCACGTGAGCGGCCCCGCCCCTGGGGGTGCAGCGTGTGAGCGGCCCCGGATGCCCAGAGCGTGAATGGCCCCGCCCCCGGGCGCCCAGCGTGTGAGTGGCCCCGCCCCCGGGCGCCCGGGAGCCCATAAAGGTTGGGGACCACTGTTGTAGGGGCTAGGACCTACTCTCTGCTGCAGTTTACTGCTCTCTGTTAAGCCAGAGACCAAATCTTACACAGACACTGTGGAAATCCTGCGGTCACATTATGCTCCAAAACCATTGGTAATTGCAGAAAGGTAGAGGCTCCACAACAGAGACCCAAAAGAAAGTGAAACAGTTGTCCAATTTGTAGTAAATTTGAAAAAGCTCATGGAACACTGTGAATTGAAGATGTTAAATGACACCATACAGGACAGGTTAGTGTGTGGCCGGCACAGTGAAGTTATACGGAAGTGCCTATTAACAGAGGCCCGGCTCACCCTACAAAAGGCTGTTGATATTGCGGGCTCCATGGAGCTGGCCACAGAGCAGGTGCAAATATCTCAGTGCACCCCTAAGGTGCATAAAGTGTCCCAAGAACTAACCCCCAAAACAGTGGGGAGCCAGGAATGTTACTGCTGTGGTAAGCTGGGTCACCATGCATCAAAATGATGGTGTAAGGACCTAGTGTGTCAATAGTGAGGCAAAAACGGACACGTTGAGCGTGCCTGCAAACAAAAGAAAAAAGGTCTGTGGTCTGGCAGACCAAAAAGGAAAATCTGCATCTCATCGAGCAGACTCAGGATGATCAAGGTGATACTCCATCTGAAGAAGAAATGCCACTCTACGTTAAGTCTTTGGCAGCGGGCTCCCTTAAATACTTGGTAACCCCCTTGTCGGACAGCAAACCTGTATGCCTGGAACTGCACACCAGTGCAGCAGTTTCACTGGTCTCAGACACTATATAAGGAAAAGCTAAAGCACCTTCTGCTTAAGGCAACAAAGATTGTTCTGAAGACATATATGGGAGAAGCGGTAACCCTGTTGGGCACTACTGATATTAAGGTGGTGCTCAATGGACAATCTGCTGAATTGGCACTGTTTGTGGGGAAAGTCCATTACCCAGCCTTAATGGGTAGATCGCGGCTTAGGAAGAGCCAGCTGAACTGGGCAGAAGT